CTGATCTGAGGCCACACAGATGAGACTGTTTCCCTATAAGAACTCAGTTCTTATGTTTAGTAAGAGCTTGATCCACGTGAGCTAACTACTGCAGATAGTGTGAGTTAGTGTCAGAATTCACCCTTTTGTTTGTGAAGCCAGTGTGCATCACCATTTCTTGATAAAACAATACCTTCCCACGAAGTGGCTTTGCCTGCTTGCTAGACAGTAGTTTACCATAGATGTCTGATTGATTTTGGAAGTCTCAATTGTATTCCACTAACCCATATGTTTATCCTTGTCCCAGTACCATTGTTATTTTAGCTTGGTGGTATAGTTTTAGATTAGGAAATCTTTCTCCAACTTTGTTCTTCTTCTAAGGACTGTTTTACAAAATAACACAAAACAGTACAAGCAATACGGAATTTCAGACAAAGTGGTAGGAAATGAACAATGGTTATTGTATTACATATTGATAGTTTCAAATTGGTTAGGCAGATAAGCAAATAGAGGCATGTAATGTGGCTTTTGTAGGTAAATGGGCACGACTAGAGACCATACTCATAAGTGAGATAAATCAGACCTGCGTGTGTAAACAACATATTGTCTCACTAGTGTAAGAACCTGAAAGAGTGAATAAAACCTAGGAGGTATAATAGATATTGTGAAAGGGGAGGAAACAGCTCAAAAGGAAAGAACTTAGATGAGTGAAAAGAGAAAAGAAAGAAAGATGGGAAAAATATGTATATGTGTATACACAGGACAGCTAAGATAGTTGTACTACTGATTTCTATTGCTTTATTGCAAAATCACATTTAAAATACACTGACGATGCAGTCCAGTTTGCATTACAGTTTTAACAATATTAAGTCTTTCCCTCGGTCAGCACAGATTGCTTCTCTGCACACTTTGATCTATTTTGGTTTCTTTCCTTAATGCTTTGCAGCCTTCGGCCCCCACGTCTACTGAATCCTACTATATTTAGTAGTATTTTTGGTGTTAAATTAACTTTTTCTTAATTTACACTGCTCGTTGTGACTGCGTGGAGATGTAATAAACTTTTGTATATTCTTCACGTCTACTGAATCCTACTATATTTAGTAGTATTTTTGGTGTTAAATTAACTTTTTCTTAATTTACACTGCTCGTTGTGACTGCGTGGAGATGTAATAAACTTTTGTATATTCTTTTACTCTGCAACTTTGCTTAATTTTTTTAAACAAATTTAAGTGAGTGGTAAATATTAACACTCGTGTGTGTGTGTGTGTGTGTGTGTGTGTGTGTGTGGCTTCTTTAGGATTTTCTAAATCATGTCACTGCAAATAATGATGATTTTACTACTTTTTTCTAATCTGAATGATCCAGATTTCTCTTACTTCTTTTTGTTGCCTAATTGCTCTGCTAGGACCTCCAGCACAGTGTTGAAATAGAAGTGGTAGGACTTGATATCTTAAGAGATGAGACTTTTTATCCTGATAATAGGGGGAAAGAGCTCAGTCTTTCACTATTAAGTGTGATGTTCTCTGCGGGTTTTCCACAGATGCCCTTTATTAGGTTGAAGGAGTGCTCTTCTCATCCTAGTTTGCTGAGTGTTTTCATCATGAAAGATTATCAGACATTGCCAAATGCACTTTCTGCCTCTATTGAGATGATCCTGTGGGGTCTTCTTTCTCCTTTCTGTATTGTTAATACAGTGTACGCAGTGATTGATATTTGTGTGTTGGGCCAGTGCTTCATTTCTGGAACAAATCCCACTTGGTCATGGAGTCTAATCCTTTTAATAAGCTGCTGGCTTTGGCTTGCTGGTATTATCACCATAGACATGCTTGAGATTTGGCAGAAAGGATCTGTGAAGGATGCAGGAGGGGGAACCGGGAGTGGGCAAGGAGAGACTTCTCACCACGAGTCCCCCAACGGCTCTGAGAGCAGAGAGGCGGGGAGGACTGGGAAGAGCCTGGCTCGGGTAGGGTACTGAGGAGGTCTTGGGCAGTCTCATGGAGGACCCTCAAGTGAGCGTCACCTGTGTGAGACTCACACCGGGCAGAAATGGCCAGTCAGTGTCCTCCTGGGTCCAGTCATTTGCTGGAGCAGCCAGGGAAGGGGGCACCTAGCTGGGGACAAGCGTAGGTCCACAGATGCTGCCCCTGCCAGTCTGCTGACTGTGCATCCAGCGGCCAGTTTCATTGGCGATCAAAGTGGTTTAAATCCATGGCTACCAGACATAAGTAGGAGGAAAGGAAGTGGGAAGCTGGGGTGCTCCGATGTCTGATGCTGCCCCTCAACAGCTGGAGCTGACCCTCAGGGGTTCACTGGATGGTCCACTCCATTAAACGCACAGCCTCGGTGTGTACAGCCTCCTCCAGTCCGCATCCCAGCTTTCTCTCTCAGTCTGATGTGCTGGGGCATGGAGCCTCACTGCTTATCCAAGAATGCTTTATGAGTCTCCCGCTCCGAGTCGAGTGCTGGCAGACGTGATTTGTTGCCTTTATTACCTTGTAAAGATGATAATCTCCCAACCACAGTGAGGGCTTATTTCCGTGATGGACTCTGCTTTACTACTTGACAGGTCAAAGAGCCTGCAGAGTCTCCGTGCCACCTGGCCAAGGTCCCTGTGTTCTTCATCTGTCCCAGGGAAAAGGATGAGGCCAGAAATGTAGGAGCAGCGCCTTGTCACACTCCTGCCCCGGGCACCGTCGTGAGTCACGGGTGAAGCATGGGAGAGCAGCCAGGTGCTTCAGCAGCCTGAGTCTGAGCTCTGCAGAGAGGACTAGAATCCACCACACGCTCACTAAGGGCTCTGCCCAAGGTACCAAGTCCTGCTCTCAAGAGTCCACGGAAAACACGGAGCTGTGGAGCCTGAAGGCTGGGGGTGGGCCTTGCCAAGCACATCTATCTTTGCACCATGGCCTGAGCACAGCTCTGTTTTTCCTATGCTCATGCTCTAGCCTCCCACTGCCACCAGGAGACTTAACACATGTTTTACCTGCATTAACTTCACTATAGGCATGAAAACTTAGACTTTGCAGCAAGCAATCGGTTGAGGCATTGAGACAGAGGTTGTTTATCTGCATGTCTATGTACACGTGTGCGTGTGCGTGTAGTACTGAGGATTGAACCCAGAACCTATGCACTAAGCCACACCCAAGTCTATTTTTTATTTTTTGAGACAGGGTCTCACTAAGTTGCCCCACGCTAGGCCCCAACTTTCAATTCTCCTGCCTCAGCCTCCCAAAGTACTGGGATTATAGTACTTAGGTAGTACTTTAGGCAGTATCACTGCATCTACTTGAGTCTGGGCTTTTTATAATGTCTTTCATCAGAGGCTTCTGCTTGCTTTTGTCAAGCTGGAGAATTTCAAAATGTACCCATTCTGCAAGATGTCACACTATTCAGTCTCACTGTTGAAAACCCAAAAATTGGTTGGAAAATTCCCATTCATTTGTTCACTACCTAGCGGGAGGATGCTCAGATGGAAGGTCCCAGCCGGGGGGTGAGCGGGTAATGGTCAGCAAGAAGGAAGCAAAGCCCATTTTCCACACAGATCCGCTCAGGTGTCCTCACCACTGTCCCGCTCTGCCTTTCCGGTGTCCACTGTGTCCTCAGTGATCTGTCATGACTCTGTCAAGGATGCGCACAGCTCAGAATCTGTATCATGGCAACCTCATCAGCCTCAGAACAAGAGCAGCATTCACGCATCTGAGGGTGACCTTCTGGGAGGAAGCAGGCGGAGAGCAAAGATCTGAAGGAAGCGACCTGGAAAGATGGCCTAGAATCTGCCCCTGCATGGGCCACAGGACAACCTAGGACCAGACAGCAGAGGCAGGAAGTTCTCTCCAATGGGCAGGCGATGGTCCCTCTAAGTTCTCAAGGCCTGTAGGCTCCTGACCACCAATCATTCTCAACTTTTACCATTATAACAAACAAATTCCACCCCGCTTGTACACTGCAGTTCCTCTACCTTACATGTTCATCAGGTATGTTCCAACTTTTTATCTCTGGTTACAAATATGCTACCTACTTCCCACCCCATTTTCCCCAAAGAATCCATGCAGGAAATGTGACCTTTGTAACAGGATCACCTCAGACTGTGTTACGGAACAAGGAGGCCAGGCTTTCAGTTTCTGTGCTCCCAAATGTGTGGTGTTTCCTTTTGTCCCCTACTGCACGTACCTGTATCCACTACCTACAGAACCCAGGGACTTCCCCCTGAAGCAGTCAGCTGGCAAGTTTAGGTTGGAAATTTTGTAATACTGAAAGCCAAGACTCATGACAGTTTGATTTTGGATTTTTCTACTTTACAGTAATGAGAAAGTACAACCACACAACTATTCAGTCTTCCAGCCCAGCCCAGTATTCAATAATTCATCTGAGATGTTTACAACTTGTTGTAAAATAAGCACTGCATCAGGTGATTTCAGCCAGCTGCAGGTTAAGGTAAGTGTTCTGGCATATTTAAGGTGGATAGGTGTTGGGTGGCTTGAATGCATTAGATACATTCAGTGTGTGATGGGTTTGTTGAGAATTAACCTATTATAACTCAAGGCATATCTGTATCCTCCTCAAACAGCAGCAGGGCCACTGAAGTTTAGATTAAGAAGCTATTTGTTGATTTAATTTTGCAATTCAGGACCCTACAAGAATTGTGATACAGCATGAATAATCCAGCTAGGTAAGGTAGCCTGTTAAAAGCCTCACCTTTACTTTTGGATCAGCTTTGGAAAATCACATCACCCCACAGAGATTCTTCTACCTTTTCTGGGAAAGAAGGAAGGAAAGAAAGAAGGAAGGAAGGAAGGAAGGAAGGAAGGAAGGAAGGAAGGAAGGAAGGAAGGAAGGAAAGGAGGGAAGGAGGGAGGAAGAAAAACTAGTTAGCATCCCTCATTGTTGCAGTCACAGGCAAACTCGGGACCAGGCCAGGTGTTGCCTGTTCAGACGCCCTGCAGACCTCCTAAGGAAGATGAAGAGTCTCCACGGCTGTCTGCTGGTCACAGCTTGCTAGGCACTTTCAGGCCAGTGAACTGCTTCAGTCTCTTTGCCAGTTTCTGTATGAGGCAGGATGGTGACTGTCACAGGAAGGCTGTAGGGGTAAATGGAGCATTTCAGTAGACAGTGTCAGTGCTTTCCATTAGATGCCTCACCAGGGATGTCATGGTGGCCTCGGTACAAAGGCATGACCCAGGTGTGGAGGAAGACTTCAAGGAACTGGTCCAGGAAAGGGGAGCCAGAACTGGAGTGTGGGTCTATGTGGCCCTACCCTGTGGCTGAGCGCTGATTCTGGCTTCCTGCTCTGGAAAGTGGCGTGGTGGAGGTGGGCCCTGGGAATGTGGCTGCCTCCGAAGCTGGGCTGTTGATTGTGGATCCCTTCCCTCCTCTGCCAGCGGCTGGTCAGGGGGCCAGGAAGACCACAGAGCTAACAAAGACCACTTAGAGAGTGGCAGACACATACAAAAGGACTTTAGACCTAGAAGAGTCTGATGTGTCCAACGAGAACTGCTGCAAATCAGTGCCAAATGTCCTACAATTTGAGTCTCTCAAATTTTCTCCTTGTTTGGTCTGAAATTGCAAACAAAAGGGGAAAAATCAATTCAGCATCCCTGATGCATGTAATTCGCCCCCAGGAGTGGAGACCTTCTGTAATGGCTCTGCAGTGGAGTGGGGAAGGCGGCGCCCGGTGCTGGGAAGGACTGAGGCTCTGGGGAGTCTGATTTGGAGGAGAGACAGCCACAGCAGTTTTGGGTTAAACTATATAAAGTTGAGAGTCATTAACCACTTTTTATATGAAAATGGCCATTTTATTTGATATATCATAACATCTGAAAATGTTTTCAATCATCCTGAAGCCTGTCATGGGAAGTAGAAACAATCAGTCTCTGCGGAAATGGAAGATGTACAAGTTAGTGGAGACTCACTGGGGCATGTACAGCATGAAGGGTTTTGGTGCAGCTAAACTTTCTAAAGACGGAATGAGTTTCCTGCTGGTGGAAATGTTCAAGAAGAATCCAGATCATCCAACTGTCGTTCAAAACTCTAGTACTGAATAAAGTTCATAGTGCCCTGCACCATTGGGATTCTGAGTTTTAGGCTTGAAGAGTCAAAATTACTATTTAAAATTCAAACCAGTGTTATGTCTAAAATTTTCATGGGTATTATCAATAGAATATGGAAGATTAACAAAACATGTAATTTATTTTACCTGGTTAATATTTATTCTTTAACTAAAATGAACTAAACTATTAGCCAATACAATAAGTTGGAACATATTAGGAAAAATATAACTCATAATCATTTTACCTCACTTAAAAATATTTATCACAACTCTTCAAATTATGAGAATTCTTTCAGTAGTATCTAACACAAAAGTACATTGAATTCTTTGGTTGTTCGTTGGTTTACTTAAAAAAATTTTTCCCCCATTTTATAATGATGCCTTTTATTAAAATATCCAGAAAGGACATAATTTTCTGAAATTTCTCTTTAGAATCAAATGTGCTACCTACTCCATAGACCATTTTAATTTAAAGGAGAATATGTTTACAGAGTTAATTGTAGTTTCTAAATCAAATAAATCCCTCAACAATGAATAATAAAAATAAAGGATAAAGAGAATTATTTTAGTATCAACCAAATACTGAGGTTTGATTTCAATTTCCCATGAATTCCTTTATCATTAATTTATTTAATCATTTTTAATCCTACCGAGAGCTAGATTCTATAGCTCCAGCCCATCTAGATAGGTAACATCAAGTAAAGCTGGAGTTTTATATCTTTTAATCATCGTTTTTCCACCGTTAATCACTTTTACTAAAATCTTAATTCCCAGATTCATTGGCCAGCATCTATGTCAAATACTTAATTCTAGATTACAGCATTTAAATATTTTTTGTGTACTGAGTAGTATAATGTATGGATTATCTCTTTATTTTTCCTATGAAATCAACTTTATGATATCATTCACATCAGCAGAATTTAAAAGAAGTCACTGCCAGAATATGAAAATCTATTCCAATTAAAGAAAAATAAATCATCTGGGGGAATCATAGGGTATCTCAAAGTGGTGTGAAGAGTAAAGGAAAATGAGACAAATGGCACAGCAAACTGAAAGTGTGCCATTCAGGGATCAGCCCCTCTGTGTGCTGAAGGGTGGCCCGCGTCCAGGCAGCTCCAGGAGGAAGGGAACAAGTAAGTTAGTTCTCCAGTAAGAGTCCCATCTGTTCTCATATCTGTTGAGCTGTCACCCAGGATGTCATCCTGGCCCTGGGAAGGCTGTCCTGCACCCTGAGCACGTACCTGCCCACCTCATAACAGCCCCCAGCTGGAAAGCCCCTGCCTGCCTCAGATGAGCCCTACAGTAACTCAGCCCAGCCCCTAGAAGGATCCCAGCCCCAGGGCTCAACCACTGTTGGGCTGGTTACAGCCAATGTTGGGTGGTTGAGGAGTGGAACATTTCAGAAAGCCCGAGTCTGACTAAGGGTGCATGTACCTGGATGTCCGTATGCACCGCAGGGGCCCTAGGGCTCTGGCTCTATCTCAGACTCAGGCAAAGGGCCCATGGGATGGCTCTGGGCCAGGGTGAATTCTCAAGAGAGAGAAAGAGGGAGAGAGAGCATTTAACCAAGCAAAAGAGCAGAAAAAAGTCATTAAGAAGGCATGAGTCCAGCCTAAGGGGACAGAGTATTATTCTTGGCCCTCTCTGGTCTCTTGTTCATGTTCCCATTGAAACTGCAAAGCATCGGGTCAAGGTCAAAGAATGCAGAAGTGGGAGGCACCTGCCAGAACTCAAGACACACAGATTTCAAATTAGATTAAAAGAAGGAGTCTGTGTCCTCCCTGGATTTTTACCATACATCACCCCAAAGCGAGTTTTCTTTTGTGATAAGAAGGATGATAATCGTGTCAGAAATACTTTGTGCAATCTTAAAGCCCAAGAGAGAGAGAGTTTTCAATTTGTACCAACTTTGTAGATGAAAAGAAGGCTGTTATTCATATCTCAGGAGAGGCAGCTAGTGACCTTTCCCATTTTTGTTTTTGTTCTCCATTTTTCTTTTCCAAGTTTGCAAGCTTGCAAAAAGATTACACTGAAAGGCTGGTTGGATTTGACAGTCCTCCTCCACAAAGAGAAAGGGAAAGTTCACAATTTATTTCTACATTGTTACTGAAATTTAAAAAGTATTCAGATGGAGGAATGGCATACCCAGATTTTAAGACTTTTAGTTTTTACTTAATGGTTTGCATCCGCATTTTCTTTTTCAGTTCAATTAGAAAGGTATCTTCTTTGAACCTAGTAGTCCCTTGAGTGATTCAAATGTGTTTGAGATGAGGACTATACTCCCAAGCATTTAAAATAATCAAAATCATGAGAAGATATCATCTCAACTCAGTTATAATGGCTATTATCAAAATAACAAACGCCGGTAAGGATGGAGGGAAAGAAGCTGTCATGAAGTATTGGTAGAAATATGAATTGGTACAGCCATTCTGAGGAATAGTATGGAATACAGATGTGACATATCTACACAGTGGTGTATTATTCAGCCATTAAGAAAAGAGGAATCCCATCACTTACTGCAAAAAGGATGAAATTGGAGGACATTATTGTGAGTGAAATATGCAAGATACACAAAGAGGAGTGCTATGTGTTTTCTTTCATTCATGCTGTGGAAATCGAAAGCAATCAATCTGAAAGCAGAATAGTGATCACTAGAGATCGAGAAGGATACGGTACGGGGTGGAGGGTAGAGCAGAAAAGGATGATTGGATTTTATCAGTGAACACTCTGTGCGTGCTCAGAAATACAACGCTGAACTCCAGTAATATGTACAGTTACCGTGTGTTAATAAATTTTTAAAAATAAAATAAAATATGAATATATTCTTGTATGTCTTGTGTCTGGATGTCCCCCAAAGCCTCATGCAGTCATGGGGTGGGTTTCTAGAGTTTATGATTGATCCATGGTCCAATGTTGGGATTATGGGTGTGAATGCTCCCTGGGGCAGGGAGCCTGTATATGATGTAAGAGAGGAAAAGAGGCTGCTTGCTGTCACTTCCCCCTTTTTGCTGTTGTTGCTTTTGCTGTCTTCTGTCACCACGAACTGTTGCCCTCTGCCATGTGCCACTCTGCCTTGGAACTAGCCAAGTATAGACTGAAACCTCCACAAACTGTGAGCTACATAAATTTCCTTCCTTAATTTTGGGCCTTGGTTGTTTTGTCTCAGCAATGACAGAACAGTAACCAAGACAAGTCTAAACTCTAAAAATCAGAAAGATGGCTAGAGAGGGTAAGTGGAAGAAAAGAAAGGAGAGAGTATGTGAGGGAAGAAGGAAAAGGAGGAAGATACTTGGCATCATCTTTGTGCCGTTGGTTTCCGAGGACACAGTCTATGGTTACCTGATCTCCATTGCCTTTGGACCTGTGGCAGGGAAGATCACAGAGTAAGGACATGGTGGAGCCAAGTTGGTGATCTTAAGGACACCAGGAAGCACAGAGAAACAGAGACAGAAACAGAGGCACAGAATGAAAGAGAGAGACACAGAGACAGAGACAGACAGAGACACAGAGAGACAGAGGGAGACAGAGGGAGAGAGAGAGAGAATGGGGGCAGGGCCTCCATATCTCATTCAAAGGGAGCCCTAATGACCTAACTTCCTCTCCTCTTGCTGCTGAAGAGCTTGAGCACATGGACCTTTGGGGGACATTTAAAATGCAAACCATAGCCACTTCAAAATGAAAATTCCAGCCTCTCTCTTTTTATTCTTAGATTGGCTATGGTGTCTATGGTCATACCTTTCCCCTTAGGTCAGTCTATTTGTTTAAACCATCATGTGACACTTTTTAAAAGGAGTCTGTTATAACCCTTTTGATTTTTTTCAACAAATTAATGTATTAAATAGTATTTTGGGGAGCTGTAGACACTTTCTGGCTAATGGAATCATCTCTATACTGTTGGCCTTCTGGGAAGTCTAAGTGAGTCCTATTCTCTTTTTTCAACCCTCTCTTCACATGTGTGTGTGTGTGTGTGTGTGTGTGCGCGCGTGCATGTGTGTGTGTGTGTGTGTGTGTGTGTGTTACTGGTGATTAAACCCAGGGCCTTCCCATTGAGCTACATTATGAGCACTTTATTTTTTACTTTGAGACACAGTCTTGCTGGTTGTCCAGGCTAAGCTCAAACTTGCAACACTCCTGCTTCAGAGTGCTGGGGTTACAGGTGTGTGTCACAAAGCCTGACCTACCTTTCACATCTTACCAGGCACAGGCAGTGCTGATTCTTCCTTCTACAGACAGAGCTCTGCCTTCTCCTCTCTTTTCACTACATCAACGCAGAAACTTTGGCCCTATCCTCTGGGTGGTTGGGTAATTTCTTTCTATATTTACTTTCCCTTTGTTTGACAAATCTTCCAAAGGCTTTGGTTATCACCCTGCTTCTACATGAAAACTTTTGGTGCTTCCTTTACCGGAGTCCAGTTTGGGGTTCAGAAAAGGATGTTCCAAATGAGGGCTTCAGAAGGAAAGAGTCTCTCTGACCTTCCGTTCTCCTGCCCCTCACCCCTTGTTCTCCCTCAGGTCACCCATGGGAACTCTAATTGCTCCTCCTCAAAGTGGGTCAGAACCCCTTCTGCCAATCATAAAAACCCACCCTCTCATAACACCTAAAAATATGTTGTAACTTTCCCCTGGCCATAAATATCTAAGAGTCATTCTGGAGGGACCTGGCCCCTTACCTGGAGGAAGGAATGTGACATGAGGGGCAGAACAGAACCTGGACAGGCCTTGCTGGGTCCCCAGTCTGTCACTGTTAGTGCGTGCCCATCCTGTCCCACAGTCCACGCAGCTGTCTTTGCTTCGTGGAACACAGCATAAACATGAGAATTCACCACGTTTGAAGTCATAAAGGATCACTGATGACATAGGGCCTGTTTTCCTCAGGGTTTCCAGCTGAGGGACAGGCACTTCCACGTGAGGCTCTCTGCAAAGCCTCGGGGCTTCCTTCTCTCCTCATTTGGCCTCCAGTCCTCCCACAAACAATGCTCTGTAGTTAGTGCCCTCTGTATAATTACCTGTTTGCTTCTAAGTACTGGGAGTTTGAGTGAAGTAAGGAGTATAGGGCCTAACCTGGATCTTTCTAGGAAAAGAAGGAAATGCTTAAATTCAAGAGGCTCCACTGTGGGTAGGGCCCCTCCTGAGAACCCAGAAAGCTCATAGAAGTGGGACATTTTCCCCTCCAATTGCTGTCGGTGTCCCAGGCCAGAGGGGTCCTGACTTTGGGGAGTCTAAACAAGTAAAGTCTGGCCATTTGCCCCAGAAACCAAGTGGAAAAGTAGTGGTGAAAAGCAAAAAAGGAACTTATTCAAGATAGCTATCACCTGAGGTCAAGGGGACTGTGCACTTCCAGCCCAGTCTTTGGGGTGCTACCAAGACCTCCAATATTATATGGGGAAGGGAGGCAAGATAATGCATAATTCTTGTGAAGTGGTTGAGCACTTTCTCAAGTCTGGTTTTGCAAGGGTCGGGAAAAGAGGTCGTTGTTTGAGGGGTAGGTTGAGTTAGATGAATGCTCTTAGCTAGTGGGAGCAGCCTTGCAGTGCAGGGTGATCTGTCTTCAAGACTCCACTGTTACTGAACCATGGAGGGCAAGGATAGGAGAATTCAGAGCACTGCTCCAGGGGGTCGGCAGCCAGACTTTGTAAAAACTGGCAGTGGACCATCTTTTGAGTATGTGCTCCTGCAAATCTTCAGCATTTCTTAGTTTTTCTTATTTTGGTGCCTTTGGCTTGAAGGGGATCAAGAGAGGTTGGGTAAATTTAGAGTTAATCAGGGGCTGGGAATTTAGCTCAGCAGCAAAGCGCCTGCCTGGCAAGGACAAGGTCGTGAGTTCGGTTCCCAGTACTGGAGAAAAAAAAACAAAAAACAAACAAACAAATAAAAAAACATTTAGAGCTAACCAACTTTGCATTACCAGTCTTTTGATAGACAATCCTTAAATGATTAGCATGTCTATATGCAGAGCCAAACATGAATCTGATCCTAAATTTAGGGTAATAAAGGAGACAGGTACAAAATGAAGTTAGAGATGCCAACCTTTGTCCTGCTGGAGTCACTCAATGGGCATCCACAGGCCCAAATGAAGTCAGTGCTTTCTAGAAAAACAGTGGTCTCACAACGCCTTGGGTTTAGATGTTGGAACAATGAGGTTACAAGTCAAGTGTGATCCTTTCACCACGGTCTGAAATTTATAGGGAAAAAACGAAAGGTGTTTTCCTATTCTGCTACACTCACTTCACCTATCACTTCAAACTTCAGAAGTGGAAGGTATTTCACTCACCCCAACCAAGCAATCCTCCAGCAGATTCTCCAGCAGACACTAGCTGATTCCTCTAGTTCAACCTACCTGTCTGATCTCACAGGTGGGGACTCAGTCCCATAAGCCTAGCCCCCACCTCAGATGCTGGCTGTATCCATGCCTCCAGAACTTCTGCCCAACAGACTGTAAATTGAGGATTCCCATGACCTCAGGCTTGAGTAATTCACTAAATCTTGTCGCAGAATTCAAGAAACATGTTGCTCATGGTTGCTGGCTTGTGATAGAGGGTGTCACAGAGGACACAGTTGGAGAGATGCAAATGGTGAGGAATATAGGAGGAGGCCAGAGCTCCTGTGGCCTCTCCAATCCTGCCCCTCCCACATGTTGGCTCTGCAAAGCTCCTAGGAGCCTTGTACTTTGGGGTGATTATGGAGGTTCCATTGCACATGCATGATTGATCTAATCATTGGCCATTGGTGATTGAACCCAATCTCTAACACCTCTGGGAATCAAGGGTTTGATGGATCAGAGTGGAAAGCTCCCCCGCAAAATCACAAACATTTATTCAAACTCTGGTCTTTCTTGTGGCCAGTCACCAGCCATTCCTGTTAGCTAGTGCTCCTACCTACCAGGTGGCTCTTTAGCTTACAAAGACATTCTTGTCATCTCACCAATTTCCAGGATTTTAGGAGTTGTGCATCAAGAAACTGGAGAGAAGAACAAATTTGCATTTCACAGTATGACACATTTCAAAACAGCGAGATAGAGCTGAAAATGCTATAAAGACAACCATTTGGATTTGGATTTGGAAGCATGATATTAAAACCTAGAATAGCGAAGGCAATCCTGGGCAACAGAGACAAGTCAGGAGGTGCCACAATCCCTGACTTGAAATTACAGTACAAAGCTACTGTGGTAAAATCAGCATAGTACTGGCAAAAAAAATTAGACCTGAGGACCAGTAGAACAGATTAGAAGATGTGGAAACAACTACAAACACACTCAACCACCTTTTCTTTGACAAAGGGGCCAAACATGTTCACTGGAAGAAAGATAGCCTCTTTAATAAATGGTGCTGGAAAAACTGGCTTTCTACATGCCAGAGACTAAAACTAGACCTATGTCTATCACCATACACTACACTAAATTCAAAATGGATCAAAGACCTAAATATTAAAGCAGAAACACTAAATCTGCGGGAAGAGAAAGTAGGTTGAAATCTTGAAGACATTGGGGTAGGCACAGTCTTCATAAACAAAACCCAAACTGCACTAGAAACACTTTAAAGAATCAACAACTGGGATCTCATCCTATTCGAAAGCTTTTATACTTCAAAAGAAATCATCAATAGAGTGAAAAGACAACCCACAGAGTGGGAAAATATTTTAGCAACAGTCCCTCAGACAAAGGACTTATATCTAGAACATATAAAGAATTGAAAAAAAATCAGACCTCCCAAATTCAAAGACCCAATCAAAAAATGGGCATCTGAGAGGAATATGTACTTCTCAGATGAAGAAATGCAAATGGCAAATAAGTACATGAAAAAATGTTCAACATCACTGGTCATTCAAGAGATGCAAACTAAAACAACACTGAGATCCCATCTCATCTCTGTAAGAATGGCTACTATCAAGAAATCAACCAACAACAAATGCTGGGGGCACTGTGGGGGAAAAAGGAACCCTTCTCCACTGTTGGTGGCAATGTAGACTGGTGCAACAACTTTGGAAATCAATCGGAGATTCCTCAAAAAATTAGGATTAGAGGTCCCATTTAACGCAACTATTCCCCTTCTGGGTATTTTCCAAAAAGAATTTAAAACATCATACCACAGCGATATATGTGCACCCATGTTTATAGCAGCACAATTTGTCATTAATTATTATTAATTTTATATGGTAAATATTTAGTTAGTGCCAATACTTTTTGCACACTTTGTGTAATAGTCTACTTCTCTACTTAATGTATCAAATCTTCAAAACCTGACATATCTAACAATATTGGTAACACTAGTGAATAATCTTTAGACATGTGATTTTAGCTTAATGGCAACATTTCTTTTAATTTTATATGGTAAATATTTAGTTAGTGCCAATACTTTTCACACACTGGTATGTGGAGTTATCACAAATGTAAGAAACTGAGCCAGATGCGAGCTTGAAATGCTCCTCAGAAGTTTTGTGCTTTTAGCAGTTCATAAATCCACCCGTCTCTTGCAGCTTAAAATGCTGCATTGTTTCATTTTGTAAATATGAAAATGGCTTTCATTTGCTTCAGTTTGCATTTGCTTCCTTAATATCAAGAATTAACCTCTGAAAACTGTTGCTTACTGTAGAGATTTCTTTATATCTGAATTGTTTGACTGCCAAATGTATTTCCACTTAAACTCACTCACCCTAAATCTGGCTATGCATGAAAATCTTTCAACATTAGGTACTTATATGCCCAAGAAAAAGATCATGTATTTTGGATAAAACCATTAGGCCATCATATATATTTAACATGACAGGTAATGTGAGTGCCTCTTAAGAGACGCCTTTAAAGTAAACCGTTCATAAACTTCCAACTGGTTGTCGGAAGAATTTGGAAATTAAAAATAAGTGTCATAAGCAGAGGTTTATGGAAAAATTTTGGAGACTGCAAGGGGAGCTAAAAGTTTACCCCAGGGAGGGCAGCATCAGGGTGATCAAATAAATAAACATGGAAATTAATAGTGCAAAGTTTAAAGCTACCGACAGAAGCAAAATAGACAAGGAGAAGAAAGTTGAAAGAATGTGGAGATAATGGTGTGGAAGGAATGATGAAATTCCATGGTCTGACTTTCAATTGACTGCACTTCAGAAGGTAATTTCTCTTCACATCTCACCCCTCGAGCAATAAAAGAAGAGATTAAGGAGGGACCTCAACTAAAACAGTGCTTCTCAATAATCACTTTGGTTTTCAGTGATTCAAATCCATCCGTTTAGAACCTGAGGACTATGGAGGTCAAATAAACTACCTTTGGTGAAATGGGGTTGCCTTAGTCCATGCAGACTGCTGTTACAGAATACTGTAGATACGCTGACTTGCTAACAACGGAAATGAACTTCTCACAGATCCAGAAGCTGGGAAGTCAGGATCAAGGTGCCCAGACTTGGTGTCGATGAGGGACATGCTTTCTGGTTCGCAGATGGCACCTCTCGCTGTGTCCCCACAGGGAGGAAGTGACAAGGCAGCCTGGAGCCCTCTTTTATAAGGGTGCTAATCCCACTACAAGGACTTCGCTCTCAGGATGTAATCAACTCCTCAAACCCCACCTCGTAATGCCTTCATGTCGGGGCTTGCACTGTAATATGTGAATTTTGGAGAAGCACAAATACTCCGCAGCAGGTTCCATAGATTTTATACACTTTCAAAAGCCATCTGCATCCAGAGGAAGGAAACAGAGAAAAGGAAGAAGAATCATTTATTATAATTCTACAAATCAGGAAAACTTGAACCCAAAATACAGAACAGTATAACACCATAGAAACAAAGCATCCTCA